AACTGTTACCGAGTTTAGCTTTGGGCCGATATTGAGCGCTAAATGGCTAAGCCAATTGAAGATTCACCGGATAGTGATCCAATTTTTGGTTAGCTCGACTAGATGTCAGCGAAACAATATCAGATCGGAAGCCTCCTCGAACAACACAAATATTCACGGTATAACCCAGCCGACGATCCGATTGGACTGTAACAGAAGTGAAGCGGCTTTGAGGTCAGACCAAACTGTGTATGATACTGGATTGAACGATAAGCGCGGAGAGAGACCAGTTATTGAGCGCTAAATGGCTAAGCCAATTGAAGATTCACCGGATAGTGATCCAATTTTTGGTTAGCTCGACTAGATGTCAGCGAAACAATATCAGATCGGAAGCCTCCTCGAACAACACAAATATTCACGGTATAACCCAGCCGACGATCCGATTGGACTGTAACAGAAGTGAAGCGGCTTTGAGGTCAGACCAAACTGTGTATGATACTGGATTGAACGATAAGCGCGGAGAGAGACCAGTTAGTGATTCCAAACATACACGATCCCAAACAGGCTAGTTACAGTGAAAGGGAGGAAAGCATCGAATTCGATAAGAAAGTGATACCACATGGGTTAGCTACAGAACTCACCAGTTGAGGTGGGTAACAATTGGCCAAGCCAATTGTCGGAATCATTTGCTGATTGTGACGCGGAATCGGTGGCAAACAAGTCAGTCAAAAAGTCCCGATGTTCCGCCGGTACACCTCCGTCCGCACCGGCTAACAATTCTACGTGATGTATGAAGAAATGGAACGAAATAAACAATGCGAACAACAAATAAAGGGGCGCAAAAAACAGCAGCGGGTATGGCGCATGTAATGGGGACAACGATCAAGTGCAAGCATAATACGCGGGATGGAACGAAATGCGACGCCACAACGATATTTCCGAACAAACTGCTCAATCAGGAGACGCGGACAACAACAACTACAACCGGGGAGCAGTGACACCGAGATCAAGGAATCGCGAACGACAGTAAGCGACCTGAGCGTACCTTCAAAACTTTTGAAGTACTTGGAGAACATGCCTTTAAAAAAATATGAATGTGAAAAGAATATTTATAGGGTTTTTAAAATACGGTGCAAATTTAACAGAACATGTGACAGACATACGTTCTCGCACATGGCATTTAGCACTGCTTGTTTGATCAATAGGCTTTCTTTACGGTAGAAGAAGCAAAACTGTTGGTGTCATAGACCTGTTGTTCTAATCACGAGTACCACGAAATCCAAGTCCTTGAAGAACATAGGACTCACTTAGAGTAGACACGGTACTGAACCGGGAAACAGTAATCAATGCTGGGTACCTGCGATGCAGCTGGAACCATGGAACAGAAGGATTGGTTCACACGTTGAACCCCTATTTGAAACGTATGAACATCTTCTGTGATTTCTGTATGTCGGTTGACCTGACCGTGACTAGTGAGGCTGCAGGAAATCTTGCCCAAGCTTGGCACAGAAACACGCTGTGTAGAGTGTGCTTCGGTCATTCTAGAGTCCTGATTTTGATCTACTTCTTTCAGACAATCTTAAAACAGCTGAAAAATACTCAGAGGATATTGTTAGGCAGAAATGAACATACTGAATTGGTTGGGAAGTGATTTAGCAAGCACCAATGTGTGCAATATTCAGTGATGTTATTAACCAGTTTACCTAATGGTACCTGCGATTCAGCCCATTTATCAAGATTTGTATTGTATTTCACACGCGTTGAAATCTACAGTGTGCACCAAACAACAACAATCTTTGCAAAACGATAAAAGGTTCATGATTTGCTTAAGGGCACAATACTGCCAGGTTGCCCATGTCAAGGCAGGTTAATTTTCTTGGGGAATTCACAACCGGAGCATTCGGCTAACCAAAGCCTGACTCGCAAGGCAGTGGGGTGGGGTGGGGAAAAACCGCAATCCATTGGGGAAAGGTATCCACTTTCTCGGACCATACGCCCTTTGGATGAGGTGAAACGTCCAATACAACTTGCTGACCAATCGAGCAGATGACCAAGACCACAACCACGAAGGTGTGGATGAGGAGGGATTTTACACCAGTTCTTGGTTGGTTGGAAACCAGGGTTTTAGCTAAATCCCCTAGATGAACTACCAGTGGATCACCGATCCGGTTATAGCCCCAGATATTGGCTTTGGTCCCCTCACTTTAGTGGGAAAACACCTCCGACCCACGGGAAGGCAGTGAGTAGGGCTTCCTCAACAGATACTATTTGATACGTTTGGTCGAACAGGAGCCTTTCGCGAGGTGCAAGGGAGGGATAACCAGCCGCAACCCAAGTACCCCGCACCCATACGGAGGCTTCCATCAAGATTTCCAAACACGGGGTCGAATTCGCGGACAAACCATTTTAGTCATCTTTCAGACATCTTCACTGGCAGAGATCAAGGGATATTTGTTCGACAAAAAGTGGTTCATGTGTCACGGTCAAGGAAGTGGAGTACGCTACTGTCTAACAGATAATATCTAACACAAGCATTGCTGAGTTGGTTACCCCTTCGATCCTATAAAAGTGTCGAGCAACTAAAACGATGTACAACGCACAGAATAATGCTCTCCCCCTCCCCAAGCACGCTTTCTCTCGCCTTCTCGAACTGGCTTACCTGTGTTTGGTTGATTCGATGTTAGCGTAGACTGATAGGATTGAAACTGCGCAAATTCATCCGTTTTCGAATCCTCCGCGTCGTCCGCGTGAAACAGCTCATCCAGCTGGCGATCAAGCTCCTCCTCGGTCGGAGCTCCTTCATTCGACTGAGTAAGAGTATCAGGATTAGCACCCTCAGCAGTGTTCGGATCCATCGACCTGGAGAGCAAGTACAAGCACAGAAGTGAGAACGTTTAAAAACACAGCTAATTACGATCGAAACATCCATACACACTCACACAAAAGGATCGGAAGTTAATGTGATTGTCAGATGAGAGACAGCTGCAAGACACATTGAGGGGCCGAAGGACAATTCAAAGTGACCGCGAAGCATGGCAAGTTGAGAAAAAGGCTGTAGCAACAATGTTAGACTACGTGCGGAATGCGCTGCGCAAATGGTGCTTTTTGGGGAGAGTGGTACAGTGAGCCATGATTGCGGTGAACAATTTGACTGAAGGAAGCAGAACACCTGTAATGGGGCAGGACAATGCGACTGGTTGGTAGGTTGGTTAATTTACGAGGTGACTGAATCAGAGACAAGAAAACCAACTGCTAGATTGTCAGCCGAAAATTATTAGGGTTTAAGGGGGGAGAGTCAGAAAAGAAACACGGCAACCCAAAGAAATCCCAAGGTGCACTATCATCCACCATCACCGGAAGCAAGGGCTAAAATCGGGGACACAAAACACGAAGCAGTGCGCTGAGAGATTACCGAGTTGCCCCGTTTTTCTTGCGCCTCAGACGAAACTCTGAATCATCAACTGTGCTCAACGGGCTATAACCTTGTTTGGCATAGCTGTTCGAACCGTCGGGAGGAGTGTGAGCACAACCAACCCCGTCCGTATTCTCTTTTTGCATTTTCTCAGATTGTGTGTCTAACTCATCGTCCGAACTGGATAGACGAGGGTGGGGACGAAGGATAGAGAACAGTACGTGAAGGAATGAGTGCATTGCATAGGGCACAGCTATTTTAACACATGGGTGTTGTACAAGCTAGTAGTGGCGGCTTTTAGGGATCCAGTTGAATTACCTGCCACCACAGATAGGTTGGTTGAAATAATTTGTGACATGGAAACGGATGCACCGGATTACTTATCTATTTTCTTCACCATGCTCTACGTTTGGATGACGTGTATTACCATTTCCAACTAGTACCGTGATCACCGTGTGCAACAGGAATACACCACCCCGCAAACTATCCAAAAAGCTTCAAACTACTTTGGGTTTCATAACACAGTACAATACTATTTGCAAATTCTAGGTCAAACATCTTGTTACCTCGACGAGTCAATGACATTATCACTGAACGACGATGAAGCAACATTAACCGTAACTTTAGAAAGAAGTGAATAATGGAACCCTGGAGAATACCACTTGCTAAGAGCAGAGGGAAGACGAACTTCGCAGATTAGTCATCAGGGTAAAGTAGCGCCAGAATATGCCTCAAAAGACAGAGTCGAAAAACGCATCCCGAATAAGATTGATAGCAATTGAAAAAAGCCTTGCGCGTGCTCAAATCGAAAAGAGTAACCTTTAAACCATACTGCTATACAGCCTCCAGGTTTCAAGGGGGAGCGGAAGGGGCCAAAAAGTCATGCCTGTGTTTCATAATCCGACGGACGGGGAATAAATGGTGGGTGCGGTTTGATTTTCAATTGTGCACACAGATGACCCCGAATAACCCAAACCCAAGACTGTGTGGATCAAACTTTTTTATTATACAACAGTGCGGGACGGACAGCAAACGGGGCGAACCCCACAGTCATGAAGACCTGCCGCTCAGTGATGGTAACCAGCAATCTTATAACCGGGACTTGGAGCAGCGAATTACCTAAGGCCCCGTCAGGTCTGGTGTGGTATTGGACCGGATAACAGCCGAAATGTCTACCACCACAGTTGGGTGGGGATGGCGGAGCTCGAACCTTGGACCACAGGGTCCGAAGCACGCCGGTGACAGCGACTAAATCACTGCGCCACCAACACCCACTGATTTCTTGTAGCTTTCATATAAAGAACCAAGTACGTTTCCGGAAAATTTATTGTACAAACTGTTATTGCCACCACTGAGCATGCATTCAGCTCCCAACGCGAAATTGAGTTCAACACTGACCACCCACCCCACCCCGCCACTTCAATCACGAAACGGAATAGGATTAAGCTGCCCAGGTCAATGATCTTATTTTGCGTCATCTGTTTCAGATGGAAGACTGTCTTCTGTTACCCCCTAGGTGGGTGAAATTTTCCAAGACAGATAATAGTTGCGAGAAAATCATGAGTAAGAACACTTTGGCCAAATACTTGACCACATAGGTTGAGCTAGACTTTCTGATTGGGATCGCGGATCATATTTATGACTGAACATTGGAAACAGCTGGGCTAGTGCACCTGTTTGGTCACCATCCACACGTATTTGGTTCACCCACATCAAGTATCTCTCTCACCGGCAACTGATCTCAACAGTTCAGTTTTTGTTTCGCTGGGTAATCGAATAGGTAATTGAATGGCAGTAACGAAAACAAAAGCATGGAATGGCAGAATTGAAATTGAAATGGGGCAATTTTTGGAAAATTTGCTAATGGCCAGCTGGATTGTCTCAAATTCGCTTACTCAATTATCAAGATAAGCCGGTGAATGGAATTTGCATTTATATGATTCCTCATGCTCACGTCATTCCTTACGTCTCAGTCAGAAAGGGACAACTCAAAAATCAGCCAGTATTTTGGATTTACGCCACGGATAACAGTAGAGTGGAAATAAATTAGGAGAATAAACGCTCTTGTGATAAGAATCACAGAAGGAGTTTTGATTAGCCAGATAATATTGCAATCAAGTCACGACAGTCTAGTTAGCTATTTTTGTGGGTCTGCAGAGAGCATTTGACTGCTAAGCTGCAAGCTCTTCGGGATAGTTTGAGTATTATTGTAACCAAGTTTAGCATGCATTTTGCGCCTTCAAAGTGTAAAATGTTGCTACAGTGCTTGTTTGGTCCGTCTCCTAACCTCACTCTAACTGGGGAATTAAACAGAGGAAGCGAAAAAATTTTGGAAGCAGAGTTTCCCGTATCGAAGTTGAAGAGATAATTTCATTATTTGGGGGATATATGTCACCCAGCGGACGCATCACAGACTAAGTGTCGATACGTGTACAGAAAGCCCGATTGACATGTGCCAACTTAAGATATCTCCGGCACCATGAAAACATCTGATTGTCTGTGACGGGTCGAGTCCATGCAGCAGCAGCTCGACCAGTGCCGTTATATGATGCCGAGAAGTGGTAATTACGGGTACAGGATAACGATAGATTGTGTTCGAACACAGCTACCGACACCGTGTTGCACGAGACTGGTGGGGAAACCGGATAAGCACTGATGGGTTTAGGCGTAGTTTTAGGTAATCAGTCGCCTACTGGGTCAAATGCTCGAATTCCATAGAATGCGCCGGTTGGGGCATGTATTGCACATGTCGCCAAATGGGTGGTCACTGCACGCAACATTTGCCCAGGCAGGTAGTTGGTGGAAAAAAGTAAAGACCTGACATGATAGAATGAAAACCCTGAACACGAGACTTGCTAATATAGGTCGCATTAGGCTTCCTGGATGGGGACCTCGGGATGAGCGAAACCGATGGTGATATGGCTGAGTGTCGTAAACAGTGTCGTAAACGGGCAGCCAAAAGACAGCAACCAAAGCCGGCGCAAGAAAGTGCACGGTTAATAGTTGTACAAAATTAAAACTAAATTACGAAGAAAACAGCAAAGTACCGATTATCCTACGCTGTGGTTACGAGGTTGTTGAGGTGAGCGCATGACGAATTGACCCTGTGAAGAAACAAAACAGCTGCCGGGGACTGACATTCACCAGACCGTTGGATTTTACAGAGAGAGAGAGAGAGAGAGAGAGAGAGAGAGAGAAAGAGAGAGAGGAAGCACGTATATCGAATCGCAAGGCAAGTGTTTGTGCTAATAGACACAGTCAAAACAGATTCGCGTTCCTGATCATCAGGATGAATGCGCGAACACAATCAACGATTTTATCCGCCTCTCGTTTCAGTATGAAACTTCTTTGTTCTCGTTTTGACACACTGTCTCACTGTCCTATTACCGGTGTATTCAATCTCGCTGGTCTAAATATCACCCTGAATTTGGACTAGTTTTCTGCCACTATTGCTGAGTTCGGTGAGTGACAATTATGCATTATCTCTGGTTCCATGGGTTCAATGAGGGCCATCGCGGTCGCTTTTGTCATCAAGTTCCTTAAGGACAGTTACAGTCACAAATTCACGCTTTTACTGAGCATAAGTAACTGCGTAACATTTTGACTACAAGAAACGCATTCTGGCTCATTTGACTGATTGCTTTCAGCGTTCAACCACTATGCTGTTCTGGTGCGGTTTCTCCAATATATATATATAATCGTGAAGATCTGCTGTTCATTGATAATACCCGGCATCCTAAGCCCCGGGACTTGGAGTGGCGCACCACATAAGGCCCCGTTAGGTCAGGCGTGGTATTGAACCGGACGACAGTAAAGCTGCCGACCACCAAAGTTGGGTGGTGGTGGCGGGGCTAGAACCTCGGACCACAGGGTCCGAAGCACGCCGGTGACAGCGACTAAAACACTCTGCCACCACTACCCGAGGCCGGACTGTGTAGCAAACATATCACGGTACAAAAATCTTTAGAAAAAGAGAAAAAGTGCCATGGTTTACATGTGGGCGGAATACCGCTAGGTTTCCCAGGCCAATACAGATGAATTTTCTTGGAGAAATCAGAACCGGGGTCTTCGACTAATCAAACTGTTGCGTACAAAGGAGCGGGGCGCAATGCATTGCGGACCAAAATCATTCGTCCTTTGAACGAGGTCAAACAAGCACCGTCATGCTTATCAAAGACCAACGATCATTGTATTCTTAGACATCCGCGCGGCCTTCGACTCTGTCGATAGGACCGCACTATGGAACTACTTGTTGAGGAATGGAGTACCTGAGAAGTATGTGTCGATCCTCAAAGAGTTGTGTTGTCATACCTCAGGTCGGGTTAGGGCCTATGGGTAGCTTTCACCACCCTTCGCCGTCTCCAGTGGAGTTCGACAACGCTGCCCCATATCCCCATTCCTTTTTAACTTTGCCATAGAGGATGTTTTACAGAATGCTTTATCCGGTGTAGCAAACGGTGGAGTCGAACTCCTCCCAGGGAACAGAGTTCTGGACTTAGAATATGCCGATGACATCGCCTTACTTGGTGACAACATACAAACAGTGCAAAACGCTTTAAACCGCTTGGCGATCGAGGTATCCAGGTGTGGTATGTGTTTTGCCCCTTCAAAGTGCAAAGTGCTGGTGCAAGACTGGCAGGAACCTGTGCCTGCACTCACCCTCTGTGGTGATCAGCTGGAAGTAGTTGAGAGCTTTAAGTACCTCGGGAGCTTGATCGCAGCTGGTGGTGGTGTTGGGGACGAGATCACATCACGAATAGCGAAAGCTAGAGCAGCTTTCGCCAACCTGCGACACCTGTGGTGCCGCCATGACATCCGATTGTCCCTTAAGGGAAGGGTGTATATCGCCGCAGTTCGTAGTGTTCTGCTTTACGGTTGCGAGACCTGGCCTCTCCGAGCGGAGGATGCTAATCGACTTTCTGTGTTTGACCACCGATGTCTCCGAAGCATTGCTCGTGTCTGGTAGGAACATCGGATGAGCAATGACGAGATCCGTCGTCGTGTGTTGGGTGTGGATAGTCGTCCTCTAACAGAAGTAATCGCCCTACACCGCCTCCGAAGGCTTGGTCACGTATTGCGTATGCCTGCCCATCGACTACCTTTCTGTGCTCTGTTTGCACACGTGGGGGAAGGCTGGAAGAAGCGCCGCGGCGGTCAGGTTATTACATGGTGTAGAGGTATGAAGAAGCT